ATGTTGGCAAGCAATGCTTTGTACAAATACGTTTTTCCAGTCCCCCCTGGACCATCTATGAAGAATACTCCTGAACGATCATCGTCTACGTGCTTCATGATCTCATCATATGCGTATTTTTGGTCGAAATTAAGGGATTCTCGGGCACGTAAATGTTCGTCTTCTACAACTATGGAGTATTCCTCTTGTACCTCACGAAAACTTCCAAATTGTAAGTTAGTATCTACATTTATCTTTGGAAGATCGAAATCATCAAGATTTTTACCCATAGATTGTAGAAAGCTTGTGATGTCAGTTAGGACCATATTCCGAACTCGGTCAACACTTTTGCATTGTCGTCTATAATCTTCTGAAAGTGAATCATAATGTTGATCCCACAACTTGCGAACATCTCCTGGCTCACAATAAATTAATATTGTCGCAAATAGCCTCCTCAGAGCTTTCGGAAACTGAAATAAAGAAGCCTCTGCAAGACATTGTGATAAGTTATCGTCTGTCTCTATTAAGCCTCTCTCAAGTGCTGCTTTCCGGAATGTCGGGTATAATATGCCATTGACTGTGAATAGATCTTTAAAAGATGTAGGCCCACTAATATGAGATAAAAGTAGGCATAGGTAGTACCGCTCTCCTTCGGCGGGATTAGCATAAACCAATCGTCCTATCATTGATCCTTGTTTTCTCTTATTCCAACGACGTGCGCTCGCATTCCATGTGTAATGTTTTGGAAAGTCTTTATATAAATGTTGTCTTGCACCATCGTCTTCTTTATTTCTGTCGAAAAATGCAGTCAACATTGTTCGTTTACCACTCTCTCTAGCAACAATATCTGTCATTACATCATCATCTTTGAACCTAACCATCTGCCTATTAGGGAGATGGATTTGCAAAGCCATCACATAAGGTTGAATTTGAGAAAGCGCAAAGCTAAAAATCCGCCACATTGCCTCCAGGGGGGAGACATAACGTGTATCTTGAAACCTTTTAATCTCATTAATGACACTCTGTCCTTCGTCTGGATCTATATGCATAACTTGTTTATCATGACCCTTGTAAATATATTTGAAGAGATATTTCAMAGATGTTATACTTGAGCAAGCCTCAACATTAATATGACAGTTGAACATCATTAACAATTTTGGGTTATACGGGACAACCCATCTATTATCCARCGTATTGCCTCGTACATTCACATCTCTTCCAATATTTCTCCTCCGGTATAACGGATATGAGTTCTCAGCCTGTGATGTMTTATCGTTAAATTGTCTAGGATATCTAAAACGACAGATTTTCGGCTCACCTTGCATGCAAGGACTGGACGGTCGTAAATGACCGCAAGGACCATGCATCATGTGTTGGACAACCAGCTGGTGCATTTCAGGATACTTTGCTGGGTCAGGAATTTCAGCACATACAATCTTGTCATAATGATCTAGATTGGTCATTTTGTCATCAGGTCTCATTATCATGAGGAAATGTGCATGCATCAATCCACGCTTCTGAAACTCGATGACATAAACATATGCCCTGACAGTGCCGATGATCTTCTTTTGGAAGAGTTGGTCCTTGAGATCCTCTAATTTGGCACGAAAAATTCTTGCAACRAGGTCCGGTCGATCTTGTGCAATCTGACCGGGCAATAGCTCTTTAAGGATTTCTGGCCATTTTGGATTACACGTCATTGTAAGAAATATATCGGGTTTCCCGTCATCTTGAACTAAAGCCATAGCATCCAAAAATCGTCGCCGCATGTCAC